TAATCACTTTGACATAGTTATAGGCATTACAAATATTGGAACTCCAGTTAATGTAGAAGCATTTATCCAGATGATGTTCTAAATTCATGATTGTGAAAAGCATATACTTTCACTTTATTATCAAAAAATTTCCAGTGAATTTTCTCGTTCACCAGGTCATGAAAATATTCGGGCAGAACTTGCAGTTGCCCGGCCTAATAATTTGCCTACAGCAATTAAGGGACATCGTGAATGGGATATAGATAGCATTTCCTATAAACTTGATCAATCTCCCGCTATAACATCATTTATTGAAGTTGAGCACCAGAAACGTCTTTCAACCAGAAATTTTATCGAGATTTCATGTAGCCTTATTGCCAGTACTGGAGCAAGTCTTAAATTAATAAAAATGGACAAAAATAAAGAAATTATAGGGAATTGTAAAAAAGTTCGTAATGAGATTAAGGCTGAAGCTTTAGTTATCAAGGATACAGATTTTGATGCAGTTGCCACTTCTTGAAATCTTACTCTTGAGGAAGCCGAATTTCTTAAACTCGATTCAGAATGTTCAGTTGCAGATACTATGGCACTTAAGCGTTTTTATATGTGGAACCTTTATGGTGGAAATGGTATGAGCATCGAGGATTGGAATAAACTCTGCGATAAAGATTTTGTAGAACGTTTTAGTCCACCCAAACCTAGAAAACATTTCTTGCATCTATCTTATTTTTACAAGCAAGGTTATGATGAAGAGAGTGCAATAGAAGAATTAAAGGCCAAAGATATCGCACAATGGGAAGATACCTGTTATAATGCTAAAGATAATTTTGAGGATTGTAGCAAAAGATTTACGCAAAACATATTCAGCGAATCATTGGGAAGCTGTACAAGGGCTTTTACAGTCGCTTGGTTTTACGGGTATAGATGATAAATGCATTCTCTCTGATGATCAGGTAAAAGTTGCGTTTGAGGCATCTCATGAAAAATTTATAGAAATTCGAAGTCAAGCCTTATTGCTCTTTGGCTTTAGGTCTCGTGCAAAAAAAATACCAGATCTTAAATCAGCTATAAAGGCAATCAACGCAATTGTTGGTAATTAGTGTGGTTATACCATAAAAAGTGAGCGAAAATTGGTAGGATCTAAAGGACAACAGATTTGAAAATATTCATATCAAATTAATCGAAAGTCATATAACGGTCGTGGTTTTAATAATCAAGAAGAAGTAATAGCTAGAAAGTTAGATAATCCTGAATATTGCCCTATAGCTCCAGTTCTTCCATCATATAAGCCGAAGGTAAGTAATGAGATTCAGGATCTTTTTGAATATGTTGAGCATAAAATTTCTAACTCGTCTAGTAGGATGATTGATGAAAAAGGTTTATCTTTAGAAATGCCAGCTCATAATCAATCTTCTGGTCTTTCCCAAGATAGATGCTATATTGATACTACTATTAGTGAAGCCAGGACAGTTGAGAAAAAAATACCCGAATCCTTAACTCCTCTATCTTCAGAATTTCTTATTAAAAATGAATCGGATATAGACACCCTTATCCTTCTTTTACAGCAAAAATTCCAAATGTCTGAAAAAGGGTTAGAACAATGGCGAACCAAGATTATCTTTGAATTGCAGGATAATCAAAATTACTGGAAAAAAGAGCACAAGAGTATGGACGAGATCGCTTTCTTGGAATATAAGCGAAATTTTGAGACTAAGATGGGTGTACCTACTACTCCGCACAAAAAAGAATTGAAAAATAAATCTTTGGCACTCATTGAATATGCGTAACTATTGTTTAAGATAATATCATCTAGTTTTAGTAGTAATTTCTGAAGCAGAGAGATTGCTACATTTAACTAGTTATTCATCTCAGGTAGGGGGTTTTTTGTCATCTCTTACAATAAGTATGAGAAAAAATTCAAATAAAAAATTAATGTTTTCAATACCTAGATCATATAAAGGGTTTTTGTGTCATGCGATTTTGGATGATAGAATTTAGATGACCAGACACTTATCAAAGCGGGTTTTTGGGTCACGAAGAGTAGTCATTACCCGGAGCTAGTGTCAGCTAGAAGCTGGTTCACACCAAGACGCATAGTACCATTAAACATATATCGAAAAAGTGATACGCAAAGGTAAGAAAAATTGAACTTTTATGTATTAAAAAAGATGATATATAAAAGTAAGAAAAAAATTGAGCTTTTACGTATCATTAGGTGGATATCAAAAAAGTGATACGCAAAGGTTAGCAAAAAAGTGATACGCAAAAGTTAGCGAAAAAGTGATATGCAAAAGAATACATAGAAGTATGACTTGATTTTTTTAGTATCTTATACTAACTTCACTAATGTAAAGTGGCAATATCCAAAGACTATCAACTATGTGAGAAGGGCTTCCAAAACTGAAAAATATAGTAAACTTTTAGTGATACGCAAAGGCAGAATATTATAAGGAAAGAGATGAGAAAAAATTGTGCTTTTACGTATCACTAAAAAAGAAAGATCAGATAGTAGAATTCAGATATAAAAAAAGTGATACGCAAAGGCAGAATATTATAAGAAAAGAGATAAGATAAATTTTTGCTTTTACGTATCATCGAGTAAGGGTAACAATTCGGCACTATGTGCCTCATCATCGGATGCTTTGGTGTCCGCCAAAAGTAAAATTATTACAGATACGACGTGAACTCAAATTCGTCATCACTCAAATGACGATGCAAGCGTGAATCGTTCATCACTCGAATGATGGAGCGAATACTAATATATCTCTGACGACACAAGTGCGAATCGTTTGTCACTCAAATGACGATGCAAACGTGAATTGTTCATCACTCATATGATAGAGCAAATACTAATATATCTCTGACGACGCAAGTGCGAATCGTTCATCACTCGAATAACAACGCAAGCTTAATAAAGGTCAAAATGAGTAGCTATAAAACAAGTAGGTAACAATATACCCATAAGTAGGTAACAATCTATACTCATAAGTAGGTAACAACCTAATGTAAGTAGGCAGCAATATATATATTGCTGCCTACTCCCTTCAAAAGATCAGCATTGTTTGCACTATCTAATTCAGACAAACTCAGTAAAATACAACCACGTGTTTGTTTTGTTTATCAATACAGTAACAGTATGAAGAAGAGATCTTCACCCCTGTTTAGGAGATATCTGAGTCGAGTCGGTGTCTAGAACGAGTTCTAAAAGCTAAACCGAAGATTTACAATTGAGATATAGTAATTAGTTGCAATTATTATATAATTTTTATCTTTATGCCTAGCATGGGCTATAATAGTGTATCATGGCTACTTTATTTTTTTTCGCTTTTTTTATCGTTGTTCATTTATGTTAGACTATTTTAGGAATTTTAGTTTAGGTTTTGTTTTTTTTTATCGCCATAAGGCGTTTTTTTTCTAATATGTTTATGTCTTTCGTAAACATGGCTTTACATTTTTACTTTTATGTATGAATAAGAGTTTTATTTGTGTTGTCAGGCTTAGGTGGAAGAAGTCTGAAAAAAAAGGAAGTAGTTATGACAGGCAGCAAGATCCACTGTTGAGAGCCAGGTCATATCCAAGTGCAGAAGGAGTCCGGAAGGAGGGAAATCTTGCTATAGCAGTACTAATTGAGGTAACTAGGTTAGTTGTAACTTGTAATTTAGATAATATTAGGTTTAATGCTATGGTGCTTGTTGTTTAGAGATAGTTTTCATATGCTATTTGCCAACAAGTTAAGAGTTTATTACTTACCTTTTTAAATGCAATTTAGTGTAAAATTTTACCAGTCTAGAAGACTCATACAAAGCCTAATAAAGTTAAAATATAACTGCCAAATTTATAAAAAAAAAAAAAAAGCTTATGGCTTAATTTTACTTGCCTTAACTGTTGTATAAACCTTCTGATAATTAAAAATACAGTTTTCAGCAATTTCTTGATTTTGAAGAATTTTTTTAATTGCTAATATAATTGGTCTATACTTAAATAAATATACACAGTTCTTAATTTGTGCAGTAGAAGTTGAAAAAACTTGGTGTGATCCTTTTTCAATTTATCCAAGAAAAGAAGACCATCTTTTGTTGATCGGAGCAAATATTTTTTTGATATTTGACCGTGTTTTTTCATAAGCTTTAATATAGCATTACCAGCTATGTAAGAAAGCTTATATCTAATCACCTAATATTAAAAAAAAAGAAATATTTAAATGCCATATCTTCAATTAAATTTTTAAATTAAAAATATAATATTTACTATATCTATAAAATTTTGATATGCAGTACTTGAAAAGTCTACATCTTCTATTTTATTACTTTCGTCACTATCATCACTCTGTAATTCATTTACTTCTAACATATTTTTTCTATCAACAAACTTGTTATTTTCAAATATGTTTTTCTCAAATAATTTATCTGACAAACAGATGAAATTTTGGTTAAAAGTCTCTTGGTTATCAAACATTAGATCAAATTCTTGATTATTAAACATTAGTCCTAATTTTAGTAGTGCTTTGAGTATTAAACATTGAGCTAGCAATTTCTTGATTCTTGAATACTAAGTTATTATTTTGTTGGCTTATAATTTCTAATCTGTCAGAACTATAAATATCCAAACTAACTTTATTATTTTGTTGGCTTATAAGTATCCAAACTAATTTCATTATTTTGTTGGCTTATAATTTCTAATTTGTCAGAACTAGCTTCATTGTTATTATCAATTTGATATTTTTTTTTGTGAACCTTTTTATGATTTTTAAGGCTCATTAAATGGCCAAACTTTTCATTATACTCACTACAAATAAATATGAAAATATCTAAAGAAGAAAAAATAGTTAATATCAAATTATAAATATTTGATTTTAAATATAATACAAATATACCTTGAATTGTAGATATTAGTTACGTTCTCTTTTTTACCTTTCAATTATGGCTTTTGTTTTATTACAATACAATACTAAGTTCATATATTTGATTTAATTATGTAATCCTATACTATTATTTAATTTCTAATATAATCGAATATTCTAAATGGGTATTTAATAGGAAACAATAGTAATTAATTATTAAATAAATTAAATAATGATCATTGAATATTCTATTATATTATACAAATTAGACTCAGGACTATAAATAATTAAGCGATTACTGATTATTTGATTTTTTATACCTTTTACTTTATTCTAAAAAAATTTGAATTCTGATTTGTACTTACAAGTAATTTTTTTTTTAAAAAAAAAGCAGCACTCTTTTACTTCCTTATTAGTTTTTAATTTTTATATATATTATTTTTTTATAAAGCTGATAAATATGTATCATTTATTTAGCCAACTCAGAATCAAAACCAACCAATCGTATATTTTTACAAAACAATGAAGTCTTAAATAGGTAACACAATTAAAAAATTTTATTTTTATATATTGTTATGTGCATTGTTTTTATATATTGTATAATTTATACTGAATATATATATGATATACTTTGCATAATTAATATTTTAATGAATTATAAAATTCAAAGTATTAAAAGTCTTAATTTTTATAATTTCTTTAGAACTTAAAAATAATTTAAAAAATATTTTTTTTTTTTTATATTATGCCTCCTAAAAAATAAAAACTTGGCATTCAAAAAAATGAAGTTATATCTGTAATTATAATGGTTTACCAATCAACTCTTTCCGTTGATCACCTGAACCAAATTTTACGCTAACAAAAAAACTAAAAGAAAATTTGTTGGAGAGTTGAGTAGACTATAGTAGCGGTTTGAGGTTCAAATATAGGTCAACTTTGCTTTGGGGGACTTCTTGCCTCATTTGGCATGCAAGCCAGAAGCCTTGTTAAGAGGAAAATGCAGGTGGCGCTCTTGGCTAGTAAAAATTTTGGTAGACAACAAAAGCTCTGTCAACGAAGCTACATAGACTACAGCTCTAAGAGAACTTTAGTAGTGGTTTTTAGAAAAGGTCAACTAAGTTACTATGAGGACTCCTCTCTATATTCAGCATACAAGCCAGAAGCAAATATACAAAGGAGGAAAAGGCAGGTGGCACTCTCTCTGTGTGTAAATTTTGGTAGACCAAGAAAAAGTATCTGTCAATGAAACTACAAAGTTCATCCTTGGAGTCCAGGAGTACAACAGATTTTTTACCTTTTTTTTTCAACACACTCTCTCAAAATTTGGCTTTCCTGCACCTATCTTCTACTCATTGTCATTTTTTACAAACTTTTTCGAAAAAACTGGGGATTTGGCTACCCTCCTCCAAATAATCGACATTGTTTACCACTTTTATTTTTAGAAGTTGTTATTGCAATGTAGCAAATTAGGGAAACAACAAACACATGCGGAGCGTGTGGCGATTTCTATTATTGGATTTAATACATGAAAGGGTTTTTGGTCCTTTTTTTTAGTATACTTTTATTAGTATCATGTGAGATATATGTTATCCCGAAGTTATATATATAATATTTTTTTAACCTGGCACGGGTTATAATAGTGCTCTTGCCAATTTTGTTTCTTCTTTTTTTATCCTGTCTTTTTTTTTTTTTCTTTATAGGGTTTTTATGTAGTTTTTTTTGTAGTATTTGTTTTGGTATTTCCCCTTTTTTGGTTATAAACTTCCCTTTTTTTCTTTGATTTTGAAGTTTTTTCGTTAAGTAGTTAGAAGTTTTTCTTTCTACTTGGGAAGTTAGGAGGAGAAGATTTAGGGTTTAAAAGGAGGAGACAATTTTGATGGCCATAAATGCTGCTTAGTGATATATTAGATTTCTTCATTTGCAGGAGGGTTTAGTATTGAGAGGAAATTTTTACTATAGCAGATCGCACATGGGTAATTTGGACTTTTGTTGTATAAGACTCTCGTCACAAAGAGCCAGGTGAGTCAATACTTGTAAATTAGGAGTAACATGTTAGCCCAGTGTTAAAGTTAGCTCATGCATGAAATAGATATGAAATAGATATGTGAGATTTATACCTAATAAAGTATTGGCAAGATTGCCAAATGTTAAAAAAAAAAAAAAAAAAAAATTATTATAGTTTACACTTTTAAGTAGTTAAAAAATTTTTTAAGTAGTTTACTTTTTTTTTAGGCATTAGATGCTTTAAGGTCTACTTCGTCGGCTTCTATTAAAAAAGCCATGAAATACAAATACCACTACTACTCAACTACTTAAAAACTCGAATAAAGAATCACAAAAGTCTACAAACCAAACTAATATTATAAATATCAATGATAATAACATCGATGACAGTACTCAAAGCTCTTCTTATGAACCTATTGAAAGCTTGTCTCGATCTTCACTTAGTGAATCTTTTACTAATACTTTAGAAAATTTGTCTGTTGGTACAGAAGATGGTTAGTATTAGAAATATAAAATCATTCAAGTAATTTTAATTATAAATATTAACTTTGAGTTGGAATAGTTCCAAATAATGAAAGTAAAATGATGAAATTATTATTAGAAACAACTAAACAAATATTGACACAAAATATCTCTATTATAGAAAAACAAAATACTTTGGATACTACAATTACACAACTAGCTAATGATATCAAAACTTTACAGTCTTCACATAAAGATTTCAAGTCAAATATAAAAGACAATAATCAAGAATGGTAGCAGATATATTATTACATATTTTCAAATATATCTATGATATCTAGAGTATAGAATCGATTTTTTGTTCACATAGTTGATTAAATAATAGAAGTTTAAACCAGGTTAGTATTAAAAAAGATTTATTTTTTGAAAATCACATTTATTATGAATAATTTTTTTACAATTTTTTATATCATTCTTAAAAGACTTTATGCAAACAAATATAAAATTAATGAAAAATCAATTCTATGCTTTGATGTCAACTTCTAGTTTCGTTCAAACATGAATTTGTATTATACGAATGTTTTTTTTTTTTTTTTTTTTTTTTTTTTTTTTAAGGTGAGATCTTGCCTTATATTATTTATTAGGTATATACATATATAAATTACATATATTTATACAACAATTAATAGAACAGTGGTTTAGACTAATTATCTATGATCTATACCTACCAAAGCTGTCTATGTCCCACTCATGTATTATTTGGATTTTGTGTATTATTAACTAAATATCCTATTCTAACCCTAATATATTTCCCATATTTCTCATACTAACAACCTTATACTCCCAATATGGTTCCAGTGTGGTATCTGTTACAGATCTCACTAGGGGGCACCAGGCAAGCATAACCTCATGGCTACTTCCAAATTGGTATAGTACATGTTGTCTGCCGTTACTGAGTTCATATCTCAAGCCATTATTTGTAATGCTGCTATAACCCAGTTTATATCTCAAGTACAACCTTCCTTATTATATATAGTGTTGATAATATGCATGCAGGACTTGATAACAGATACTCCCCTAATTGGTGAATCTCACAGGTTATAGGTGTCAAAACTTCCAACCAAGTTTTTCGGAGTACATATTGTACTACTTCCAGTATTATATATTGGTATTTTAAAGTTGGTGTCCCTGTGTTCTGTTTTGTACTTGTTTCTTTTTCCAGATCTCATCCTAGGATCTTCTCTAGTCATACTACTGAAGTAGCCAAAGAATATACAACTAAGATGGCTCACATGACCTGGTGACCAGACAAGTACTTCCAGTTGGGTATGACCTTGCCGTGTCTTGTTTATTTTAAGCGTATCACAAGTTTTCACCTGCCAACTTTGCTTATATAAGAAAATCCTGTTCAATTTAGTAGTAGTATAGGTGCTAGAGGTGTTCAAAATCTGGTAAGACCAATTCTTTATCACAGGTCCCTTTGTATTTACCACATTTCTTACCACTTTCAATTCTAGTTACTATCTAGTCGTTCTTCTAAACAAGATCCCCAATTCTGTTTTGGAGTTGTTGGTGCTATCTTGCCAATCGCAGATTTACATGCACAACCTTTTGTGTAATAGAACTTTTTGTAACAACTCCTGTTACATATAGTGCCAACTACTCCACAATGGACCTCTTTCCAGAAATTCCTAATCTAGACCTGTATTCACTTGGACTTCCCACAGCAGATACTTCCAAATATTCGTAGGTAAAAGTACCTACTAGAACTTGAACCAGAAACCTGCTTGTAGAGGGTTGGGTGTCTAGACCACTAGGCTGCGGGATCCCAACCCTCTATACGAATGTTTGTAAAAAATGCATTATTAATAATATCTTTTAATAATAATTGGATAGATTTTATTAATTACAGCTTGACTAACCCAAAATACTGATTACTGAATTTTTAAAATTAAATTTTATTAACTTTAGAAAGGGATGATACAAGATATAAAAAATGCTATAGATAATTGGCTTTATCTCAATGATAAAATTTATGAGCAGGCTATTCGAAAAGAACTTGAAGCCCTTTGTCTAGATAAAATGAGTCAATATAAAAAAATTTCCAAATAGGAGGTGTTATTTACCAAGATTGAAAATTCAGTAAGTAATTAATTTTAATGCATCATATAATTTTTAATTACTAAATTTAAATTTCAATATAGATCAGTACTGAATCTTGCAAGTATCATGCTTTATTTGGGTCTTTTCGACATACTATATTTGAACATGTTTTTTAAAAAAAAAAGTATTACCAACTGTTAATTTAGAGAGTTCAGAATCAGAGATAATCTCTTGGAAAGTGAGTGAAGAAGTTCAATGGTGTTTTGAAAATTTGGATAGTATAGTTGAACAAGAAGACAAGACACATCTTCAAATAGTTGCCATAAAAGTATTTGGCCAGCTACCTACCAAGAATCAATTTGCAGTAACACAAGCTATGTTATATAACTTGTTTAATCCTGAGATTGTCCAGATTAAATTTGATGAAAGATATTTAACATGAAAATTGAGCTTTTTCTTGGTAAGTATATATTTGAAATTAAAGTTCTTAGAGTATTAACATAATATATTGATCACTTAACATTATTTTTAATAATATTATGATTTTTTAATCACACTATTTTCTAATTTATAGCAAAACAATGAAATAAATCAAGAGGATGATAAGTCAAGTCTATCCGATAATGAATGAACATTATTATTTTCAAATATCTATGCAGGAGTAGCTTTAAAGAACTATTATTTTTAAATCTATATAATCAATTGCATAACTTATATATTCTTTATGTAAAATTTATTTGTAGCTACATATAATTTTTTATAACTATTAATTTGAATAAATATGTATTAAATAAAAATTATTTATTATTTTACATAATTATATAAATAAATTTTATATAAATATTGTTGTTGTTAAATATTAAATAAATATTATCAATAATTCTATATATTATATAAATAACTTTTATATAATCATTATATTTGATAAATTTTAAATAACTGCTAAATAAAAATTATCTATAATTCTGTATATTATATAAATAACTTTTATATTTGATAAATTTTAAATAACTGCTAAATAAATGTTATTTATAATTTTATATAATTAATAAATATATTTTATATAATTTTTATATGAGGTTTACTATTTATCACCACTGGTGATCATCACCAGTGTTGCTATATCTCAAAAATCTACTAAGTAAACAGGATCGGGAACTCTAAGTAAAAATGTTCAGAACCCTTGAAAACCTCGTGAGAACTAAAATTAGAACCCTAAATCTAATATATATTATATTATATAAAAAAAAACCCCTTAAAAATGTATTCTAACCCTAAAAACTATATTGTTGCTATATCTCAAAAACCTACTAAGTAAACGGGATCGGGTACTCTAAGTAAAAATGTTCAGAACCCTTGAAAACCTCATAGGAACTAAATTAGAACCCTATATTATATTATATAAAAAAAAAAACACCCTTAAAAATGTATTATAACTCTAAAAACTATACTGGTGATGATCACCAGTGGTGAAACGAAGTAATTCTCTTTTTATATTTGTTAAATTTTAAATAAATATTAAATAAATATTATTTATAATTTTAAAATATATATAAATTATAACTATTTAAGTCTACATTGGGTTTGTAGACTTACATATAATTTTTAAATACATAACTCTACATAAAAACCACTTTGTGATGGAGTTGACATAGTTTTATAAAGTTACAATCAGATTTTTTTTAAAACTTCTTGTGTAAAGGTTATATATTTAAAAAATCGAAACATTTCGTGTAACCGTTGAGTATACCATATTTTAAATATTTACTATTTACAATAATTAAAACTATATTTAATGCGCAATATAAGAATAGCAATAAAAGTTTTACTTTGCATTATAACTAAATACAGCTTTAATATTTCAAAATAATTTGTCTTTATTAATAAAATAAATTTTAATTACAGTATTTAGTATATAGCCAAATATTATAAACAGATTATGTATGTTATACGTCAGTTTACCTTTTATGTTGATTTTAAATAAACATATTTTAAATTTATACCGATTGGAATGTGACAACGTCAAATGACTACATTAATTGATTAATTTAATAAACTTATTGATTATACGTATATAAATAAAATTTTACCTTTAATAATCTTCTCATTCAATATGACTTCAAATAATTTCTAGTTTTTCATTTTTATTTTTTATATTAAACAATATTAGTAATCGAAAAAATCAAATACGTACATACTATGAATCGTTCAAAATAATCATTGTTTAACATTTTTGTGAAACTCTTCAAATATTGGGGTTTTTACGATGTTAAAATTGGGAAAATTGAAGAGCTAAAGATTAAGCTAATCATAATCATGGTTAACAAATTTGTCCTATTAAAAATTTGTACCATAACACGAAAAGCTCAGGATATGGCACTTTTATCTCCTAAAAAATGCAAAATTTGACACACGCGACTAAAATAACCTATCAATCAAGAAAAAGTAATAGCAGTCGCAACGGAACAAACTGCAAAATTAAGAGCTAATCATGAAATATACTCTGCGCCAGACGTTGCGGATGTTATTACGAGCTTATTTGTTTTCATAATAAGTGGTATTATGACACCGATCATTCTATATGTCAAATTATAATTCCAAAATGGCTTATGTCAATTCAGAATTAACATAAATTCCAAAGCGATGTATAACAATTTATATTAATATCTGTTTTTAAACTAAATGACTAATAATTTTTAATATTTAATGATTTAGTTTGCAATTAAACTCAAGCTTTAGATATTTAAGGGATAGTCTGAAGTTAAAGGGTCAAAATTTTATAGTAAATGCAGCGCAGTTTTACTACTAGTTCCCTATAGGGTGGAATGCCGAAAGTTTATAGTTTTTAGTAAAAATCAAAAAATAATCATATCGTGATCTACCAATTTTAATGATTTTACCATTAGAATCGTCTCAATGAGCTCGACAACTTTAATTAGAAGTTTTACTTGATAGAAAAAAAACTTTCATATAAAAGACAACCATATTCCTGTTTATTGAAAAAAAATATAAGAAGTTCCGCTTTTTTTTTATTATAAAATTTATCCTTTTTTTTTTTACCCTTTAATTACGAATTATCTCTTAATTTTTTTATTAAAATTTTATTTTATAACTATACAAATTATTACAATTGTTTGAGCATTTTAAAATTTAAATTCATATAAACTACTTTTAAATTTATGTAAATATTTTATTTTATATTTAGAACCTTTAAATAACATATATAAAAAAACTTTATTATAAATTAAAACGGTATTAATTATTACGAAATCATAACTAGTTACAGTAATTTAATGGGACAATTTTCGTGTTAAAATTTTTTTTCAATTTTTAATTCCAATACAACTCATTCAACATACTGTGTGCTACCGCAATAGACCGTAAGTTTTGTAACAATTTTTACAGCAATTCCTGATAAAAAAATCATAAAGTTAATTTCAATGCAAATTAACTCAACCATAACCACATACTGTGTGTCACCGCAATAGCTTGTAAGTTTTGTGATAATTTTTTACAGTAAGTCATGATAGAAATCATGACCCTTAATTCCAATACAAACTAACTCAACTTTAACCGCTGCGTGCCGCTGTAATAGTCGGTAAGTTTCGCAACAAAATTTTTTACAGTAAATCATGATAAAAATCACGACTGTTCAATATAAACTAACTCAACCTTAACCATATACTGTGTGTCATTGCAATAGTCGGTAAATTTTGCAATAAAATTTTTTACAGTAAATCATGATAGAAATTACACTGTCAATTCCGATACAAACAAATCAACTTAACCACATACTATGCGTCACCGCTATAGCGAGTAAGTTTGTAGCAATTTTTTCAATAAATCATAGCTAACTCAACCTTAACCACATGCTATGTGTCACCGAATAGCGGGTAAGTTTTGTAACAAAATTTTTTACAATAAATAATGATATAATAATGACCTTTAATTCAAATACAAATAAAATCAATGTTAACCACATACTGTGTGACATTGCAATAGAAAGTAAGTTTTGTAATAAAATTTTTTACAGTACCGTATAAGCGTAATATAACGTCCCACTCCGCGCTAATTAATTGACCTGTGCGTTATCTCAAATACGCTCATGTGCATTATTTCGAATACGAAGATTTCTAAATCCAACACAGTCAACCTTCCATAAATGCAAGTTGTTGGGTAAAAGTGCATTTATGTATATTTATTTTGAAATCAAATTATGTGTACTCATCATTATAGGGAAAGTGCACTTATCAGAGAGTGCGCATATTGAGTGTCGATTGTAATTCATTTAGAGAGTGCGCATATTGAGTGTCGATTGTAATTCATTTA